CTCCAATAGCATACACCTTCCATTTCTGCGTTGTGATTCGTCGTAAAAGCTGATGACTTCTATGATACAAGTCAGTTTTATTTAGAGTTAAATTTAATTTTGGCTGTTGCATGTTTCGATTTGTATCAAGATATACTAGTTGCCCTACAAGTGCATTGCGACTTAGTGAGAATACAGGAGAGAATAATGTGGTTCTATAAATCTACTGAAAAACAGTTACAAACTAACCCAAAAAATACTATTGGACTGTGCTGATAATTTTTATGAATACCATTTTGGTTCATAGTTTTGCAGTTAGCTCTTTTACAAAATCTAAACTAATAAATTTATCAAAATGTAAAAATGTAATATTTATGATCACAATCAGTAAAGAGGTCTCATCAGGAGAAAAGTATACAAACCATAATAAAGAAAAAAATATAACAGCTAGCACGTCACATATTCAATATTCAAAATGTGAATAATGAAATATTACCATTTGATTAGACTTCGTACCGTTAGAAGATGATTTAACGGATAACTGATATTTTTCGGGGAAGTTTCTCATAAATACATTTCATTCAAGTATGCAGTAGATAGGTGAGCGTCTTATGGGGTTTTCATAAGTTCGTGATCTTATTAAATTTATATATAAGAGGATAATTAATTTTAATAAAATGTATGGATAGCTGGCTGGTTATAATGGAGTACCAGTAGATGGGTCAGAAGGTAATTGGTTATATGGTGAGAAAAGTCAGTGACTTTTTTTATTTCAAAATTAGGCCCAGCTGTCCTAGCTGGAATTGGGCTTTTGATAAATGTTCCAGAATAACAAAACAGTTTGTCATAGACAGTAACAGAGCTACACCATGCTTCTTACTCCTTTTGACACTCATCCTGTCCTTATAAGTTTAAACACACCCAGGCATTTCCCTCTCTTACTTAAAATTAATAATTAGTTATATATAACAAATAAAGTTTGCCAATATTTACTAAAACAATTTGTTTTCCTATAATATATTAACATTAAAGGTTTTGTTTATGTTTAACGAAATCTTTCAAAGTAACTGTTACATTAAACCTATAATTAAGGGGAGATGCCCAGTTTTTCGGTCAAAAAATTAATTTTTTGTTTATTGCATTGAAAAATTCTTCATCTTTTCCTGATTCAGAAAATATATAATTTTAATATATTTACTACAGTCTAACAATCATAAAAAATAATATAAATAGTACTACACACTCGGTTTTAGTCACAATGGGCTGAATTAGCGTCAATTAAATTTATGTTAGAAATTTAATTTTGTTGAATGGTTGCACTGAATAAATGTTGTTGCTAGGTTAAATAGTCAACAAAAATCTTTTTCTGTTTGTTTTTCTTTCTTCATAACATATGTGCATATAATAATAGTGCTGTTTGTGATGAGGAATAATGTGGCATAGGGTAGGCCTAGGCTTGACTTTAAATGAGTTTTTCCGAAACTGTGTTTTTTAATGTTTAGGTACCATTTTCCAGACTACTATAAGTACCACTGACTTCAAATTTTTTTCTGTTACTTAGGACATCATGGCCCACAAAGTGTACTAAAAGTTTCTTCTATGTTTAAAAAAACATTAACAATAAAATTAATTAATATTTGTAAAATAGTGAAAAAAATTATATATTTTAAAAATTTTGATAAAATATGATTTTTTTGGTAGAACATATTTAAATTAGTACAGTTTGTCTTAAATGTCAATACAAATAAGTAGTTAAAATTTGATATGCATAGCTAAAAGGGTTCTTTCTTAAATGGTACCTAAGCAACACGATGTTAACCCATATAAAATGCATTAAATCTAAAAAGTGGGCATCTCCCCTTAAAGAACTATATTTATACTCCAGTTTATATAAATCTTGTAAAAATAGAACACTTACAAATTAAATTATTTATTATAAACATGTTATAAACTATGCGTCTTTCAAGCACTAGCTCTACATACTGTAAAAATACGAATAAAAAATACTAGAGTAGTATTAAATGTAAATAGTTTAAAAATAGTATTAAGCAATTCGTGATTACACCATCTGTTTACTTTATTGTCAGACTCGTTGACCCGAATCCTATAATGTTACAAGTAGATTTAGTTTTAGATTAAGCTCAGAAAGTAGATCCTTAGTGGTAACAAAACATGGTGTTGTTGCTGTTACATCTGTTCCAAAGCCTAGCTTTTACAGTCTTATATCGGCTTTTATATTGCGATACCATCGTGAGCGATAGTGCTTAAAAAGTTGATCATTATTTTTTCTTATCACTTGGCCTTGGTATGTAAGTTCGAGTGGTTTGATGATTTAAAAACTGTGATGCATTTGAATTAAACTTAAGAAACAGTTATCCCCTAGCTTAGTATTACAACATGTTACAGGATTATTTTATCGATTCCAATACATCGTTTATTGTTTTCAAACGTTTGTAGGACTAATAGGCCTACACATTAAATATTAATTTTCAGAGGTATAACTAGATATTAAACTACATTATTAACAATTCAACATTATAGAATGGACACTAATAAATATGGCTTTTTAACACTTAAGTACTATCTTTGGAATTCGCTTTAAAACTGTCTTTGCGTTTTTCTCTAACATGTACTTAAATCAGAATTTTAGAAATCACAAACAAATAAATAAATGTCCATTTAAAAAAATGCTATCATTATAACTGACATTGCTTATGCGTAATGTTACCAAATCTCAATTAATAAAATATTGCTCAAACGTAACCTATTTGTATATAACTTACAACAAAATGTACATTAGTAAAAAAAGAAAATCTTAGTTGCCTAAAACTTTATAAAAAGATGAACAGGATATTTAACGTAGGTACACAATATAAACAGTGACACAGAATAAACAAAATAATATTACCAAATATCTTACGGTAATACTTTAATCAAGGCCATTTAATTTTCTTGTAGCTGTATTAAGTATCAAATGACCTTTTCGTTCGTCTCAATAAGGATTAGAGTGTAGTTATTATTCACCATGACTCACTTGAAACTTCCCCATAGATTTGTTGTTCAAGTATAATGTTCAAAGTTGTATGGATAAAATTTATAAAAAACTATTCTATGACGAAATTTCGGGTTGAGAGACAAAATTGAGATTTTAAGTACGTGATTGTCGTCTCACCAGAAATTAGGTCACACCCTATAATTTGTCCAGATAGCTTAGCCTACAATGATATAGTCCAGGGCTCTAACGTGCTCGTTAATTAATTATCGTTTCGAGTTTATTGGCTCAGAATTAAATACAACAATAATGCTTACAATGTTAAGCTTACCTTCAACAAGTGCTCATCATAGCCACTCGAAAAATATGTAAAGTTAAATTTAGAATTTTGAATAACCTATCGAAATGCGAATAAGCCCAATTAATTAGAAATTGAACTAAAACGTGATTCGGTCGTTATACTTGGTAATCACCAAAGTAAACTTTGGTCGGGAAAATTAGACTCGGTCGATCACCAGAGTCGATACGGGGTTTTTAAACCAAATTTACGTAGGACGGTCCGGGGTAACGGGGTAAGTCGTACGTAAACCGTTCCGGCAACTTAACTGATTTCCGAAGCTGGTTTAGACAAAAGGTAGTGTGCTCGTACGTGAACAAGCGTGCGGGGTGCGCGCAACTGCGGCACAGTAAAATAAAAATAATAAAACTTCTCTAAAAATGAGATTAAACCAAATAAATTCGGTAGCACACTAACCTGATGACTTATGATTCTACCAGGAACGGGGGAAATCTTTAATTGACCACAATTTAGGAGGTTATAGACTGTTGGATTGTCTCCAAACAGCAAGCGTACTGACGGTTCGGTAGCGGGTGGACGACTGACCGTGAGGTCTGCTCTTCTGGTCCTTCTTCACCATCGCCCCTGGCGGCGGGGTAGGTAATTAGCGTCCTCCCCTCTACGATGACGTAGGACTCCTGCCCCTTCGATGCCGCTGACAACGCGGGCGCGGCTTACCCCGAACGTAGACAATTATAATATTTAAAATGAAACTTTTAAAAATCGGGTTTTTACTCCTTGACGGGTTTTGGGTCGTTACAATTCATCCATGGGCGTAACTGAATCCCAACACATTTAGCTCGCTGGAGAGCTTCACTAATAATGAACAACAATGTAGACACTTGACAGTAGGGTAAAAATGAGAGAGCTAGCACCACCGTGTTATTAAACGGCTGAGAGAACTGGCACGGGGAGAACGTACATGGGTGAGAGAGCTGGCACGGTGAGAGAGCTGGCACACGGTGTCGAAAGTTTCCGTCGGCGTGTCGGGGTGGACGGTTGAGAGAGCTGGCACCGCGGAGGCTGGCACACGGGAAAGGTGTCGGAGGTGTGTCGGTTTGGAAGGGTGTTTGTTACCTGATGTCGGGCGTACGACAAGATGTATTATAAATATTTTTATTTAAAACTCGATTTTTAAGGTGGTAACGTTTGACTGACAAACGCTTCTCGCTTCTGCCATTTAGTGTTGAGTGTAGATAGTTTTCCAAATGTGTGGAGTAAATAGAATGTTAAATTGTTAGCCTTATGTAAGAAATAATGGATAAATAATAATATCTTAATAAATTAATTTAAAAACACTTATGGTGGACTTAAAAGCGCTTTTATGGCATGTCATTTAACGATGACGTTGTTTACCATGAAAACAATTTGTTTAATAAGGATATTTGTACATTTATATCTGAAATTCATTTATATCATAAAACTACTGTTTGTATATTTAAATAAATATTTAGCGCTGAGCTGATAATTATCCTTGATGATGCAAGGCTTATCGTGGCGTGCAAAAACTCTTGATAGGGATTATCATGGATGCAGCATTAGTTTATCAAAACATAATAATTTGCGTAACCATTACAAAGTGCAGCGTTGCAGCGTGTGTGTTTAATGACTTCCGACTGATAACGTAAATACCACGTGTGGAGGTTAAGGTCAAAGACGTCATATCTTATCAGTATATATATAGATATATAATTCGCGCACACAAAATCATTATCATCATGTCTTCCTCCAACGCGCTGACCACACCCTCCACCTGGGACGTTTCCATCGTCGAGGGATCAGGCCTGGAGAGTCTTGAAGACCTCTACATTATCTTGAAGGCAGTGTTCCCTCAACCTAATGTTCAGGTAGGAAAAAAATAAAAATATTATTGATAAAAAACTTTAGATTTATAAACGTTATACTTTATATCTTTAAAATGTTTTCAACCAAATTCACCTAAGATTCAATAGTGATGATATGTTATATCACTATCTGATAAATACACTGTATATTAAACTTATTTGCAAGTAATAATACCCTAAATTAAATAATCATACTTATGAATTAAATTATCAATGTCAATTTCTATTTTTATATCTACATTTTGAATTATGATTATTTCAAAAATGATTGCCCAAAAAACTAAATTGTCATTGTATGGAACAAGAAGGCTTTAATTTATCGTTTCATGTTCATCATTATTTTCTTTGTTAATTAATGTTTAGGTTGATTAATTATTTTTTTACCTATAAATTAAACTTATGACTAAACCTATAACTAAACTTTGATATATTTCTAGATAAGGTACAGAAGATAACAGCACTTAATTTATTTTAACACACGTTTAAAAAATATTATAAATTAATTTTATTTTACATGTTTGTTTAAGTTTGAACGGAGGGATGACCAAACATACAGAGTACGGCTGCCGTATTGTGTGAAGCTCACATCGCTCCAGGCCAGGTTTGGGGAGTATGCTGGGGCAGTGACAATAATCTCCGCTGCGGCAGACCTCACGTTGGCTCAAACCAGACGCCTGGCTGAGCTGCGCTCGAAGATCATCAATAGTAAGAGATAGTGAAAAACCATCAATTACTATAGTACAATTCATCGTAGGGACTAGCCAATTATAGAAAAATACATTTTATAATTTGAATAAGAAATACTCCATATCATTGTCAAATATAAATTACTATTCTATTGTAATCTGTTAACTATGCAAAACTATCTTGCAACGATTAAACTCAAATTTTGTAAACCATGTAATACGTGGTACAGAGAATCTGACAATCACCCTGCAAGTAACACTCATTTAAAAAATACATTGGGCTATTTGCCAATTATTGAGACCGAGTCTGCTGCAAAATGTAGGCTTAAAACCTATTACTTAACAAATGGTGAAGGATACATCGATATAGGTAATTTTTTAAAATATCACACGAAACCTTTGATTATTTCAAAAATTCAAGAACACCTTCTTAAGTCGAAAACTCTGAAATGTAATATTATTTTAAAATGTATCTATGCAAGAACTGAAGGAGAAGAAGATGAAATCAAAGAACTGTCATTTAAGACTGCAAACGAGCCCATACTACTAGGTACAGATCTAAACACGTATTGTAAAAACGCTTTTGATAAACTTTTAACAGAACAATCAGAACACCAAGGTAAAGGTTCAGGATGGAGTCTAAAGAGTATTATAGGGCTGGAACTAAGAATTAATAAATACTATCCATTAAGAGGATGTAAACATATATCCTTACCAGCTTTCATTGCAAACAAGAAAGCTGTTGTAAATGTAAAGAATCAGGATGATTATTGCTTCAAGTATAGTATATGGGCGAAAAATGTACCTCGTAATCCACAAAGAGTCCGCAATTATATTGATAATGCAGAAATGAATGCAGCGTATGACTGGGACTGTATTAACTATCCTGTAAAACTTAAGTCAATACCTAAATTTGAACAGATAAACAATATGTCTATAAATATATTTGGAATAGAAAAGAAACACAATAGTGAGGAATATATTGTATATCCTATTAAAGTAACAAAACAAGAAAAAGATGATCACCGTGATTTATTACTATTGAAAAATGAAACAACATCTCACTATGTGTGGATTAAAAACTTTGATAAATTAGTAAGCGCGCAAACCTCTAACCACAACGGAAGAAAATTTGTTTGTAAATCATGTTTAATCCATTTTAATGATAAACCTACCTTCGATGTACATAAACAGCTATGTAACAATCATGAACCTGTTGCTGTAGAAATGCCTAATGAAGATAATTGTAAACTTAAATTTAAAAATTTCAAACACCAACAACAAGTCCCGTACATTGTATATGCTGATTTTGAAAGTATATTAATACAAAAAAGTCCATGTAATAATTGCAATTCTTTTACCTGTAAAAATCCCAATGAATGTTGTATTAACTGTTTCCGAGTCAACTGTAAAAATTTGAATCAATGCTGTTTGAACTGTAAAAGACCGAATTGTAAGAACTCCCACACCTGCAAAACTAAACATGCTACGCAAAATCAATCTACCTCTTCAACTGTTGACTATCAAAAGCACTACCCATCAAGTTTTTGTTATTATGTTGTTTCAAGTAATGGTGAAAAATCAGAACCAGTCCTTTTTCGCGGAGAAAATGCTGTGAAGGTATTTTGCCAAAAGATCAGAGATGAAGCTCTTAAAGTGTACGAGACGTACAAAAATAAGTTGCCTATGGAGTTAACGGATGAAGAAGTGGACATGTTTGAACGTTCATCTTGCTGTCACATATGTGAAGAACAGTTTACTGCCGATAATTTAAGGGTTAGAGATCACGACCCTAATACAGGGAAATTTAGAGGTGCAAGTCATTCAAATTGTAACTTGTCATATCAAAATCCACACTTTTTGCCCGTAGTCTTGCACAATATGTCAAATTATGACCTCCATTTTATTATTAAAAGTCTCGATTATGATGAAATGGAAATAAAGGTAATCCCTAATACAGAAGAACGGTATATCTCTTTATCAAAGAAAGTTGCTGCTAGATTTGAAATTCGTTTTCTTGATTCGTACAAATTTATGTCTAGAAGTCTTGATGAACTAGTCAAAAATCTTGACAAAAATCAATTCAATGAAACACTTTCTTATTTCGGTTATGATAAACTTAATATTGTTACAAAAAAAGGCTGTTTTCCCTACGAATACATAGATGGCTGGGAAAAATTTAATGAGACTAGCTTGCCTTCTATTGATCAGTTTTACAGCTCTCTAAATAAGTCAGAAGTTGCTGTAGAAGATTATAATAGGGCTGTTGAGGTTTGGAACAAATTTAACTGTCAAACCTTAGGAGAATTTTCTGATATCTACCTTAAGACTGATGTGTTACTATTAAGCGATGTATTTGAAAATTTCCGAAAAGTTTGTAAATCCAATTATGGTTTGGACCCAGGTTGGTATTTCACAGCTCCTGGCCTTTCGTTCGACGCGTGTCTTAAATTGACTAAAGTTGAAATCGATTTGTTAACAAGCTATGAACAGTACATGTTCATAGAAGCTGGTATTCGTGGTGGTATTTCTATGTGCACTAAACGTTACTGCGAGGCATCAAATAAGTATTTAGTTTCAGAAACAAATCTTGACTCGGAATCACAACCTGGTGTCAAACCTATGGATCAGGGACTCTGGACAGTTGATAATTCAAACTTTATATTATTCCTAGATATAAATAACCTTTATGGGGCTGCAATGGGAGAAAGTTTACCGTTAAAGGACTTTAAATGGTTAACCCCTGTTGAAATTGATGAAGTAAAAAATAAAATTAATGATATTGGTGAAAATGATGAAGTAGGGTTTATACTTGAGGTAGATCTAGATTATCCGGCACATCTACATGAACAACACAACGACTTACCATTTTGCGCCCAAAGAAAAGTACCACCAGGTAGTAAACATTCAAAATTGTTAACAACTTTAGAACCTAAACGTAATTACATAATTCACAGCCAAGCGTTAAAACAGGCCGTAGAGCATGGATTGGTTTTGGTTAAAATCCATAGAGGTATGAAATTTGTTCAGTCTAAGTGGTTGTATGGATACATCGAAAAAAACACAACATTTAGAAAAAATGCGCAAAATGAGTTTGAAAAGGAGTTTTTCAAACTCATGAACAATTCGGTTTATGGCAAATGTATGGAAAACGTAAGAAACAGAATGAATATGGAAATAGTTTGTAGCACTAAAAGGCTCGATAAGCTTATTGCTAAGCCTAATTTTCGTGATAGAACTATATTTACAGAAAAACTGATAGCAGTTCATCTAAATAAAACTAAAGTAAATTTTAACAAACCCATTGCAGTAGGTATGGCTATTCTTGAACTAAGCAAAATCGTAATGTATAGATATTTTTATGATATTTTTCCTCGTGTATTTGGTCAAGGAAATGTAGAACTATTATATACAGATACGGATAGTTACCTTATAAATGTAAACTCAGTTGACGTATATGAGCAAATCAAGGAGAATATACATTACTTTGACACTAGTGAGTACCCAATAACACACGCTTGTTTCTCTCTCGATAATAAGAAAAGACTTGGTGTTATGAAAGATGAAACTTTATCAGTTCCCCTAAAGAAATTCATTGGTCTTAGGACAAAGCTATATACTACTCTTAGTAAGAATTATGATTGTAAGAAACGTGCTAAGGGTGTAAAGAAAAGTGTTGTTAAAAATGAAATAACTTTTCAGGACTACGAGAGAGCTTTGTTTTGTAATCAAAACCAGTACAAAGAAATGAATATAATTAGGAGTAGGAAACATGATGTATACACAACGAAAGTACGAAAACTAGCGTTATCGTCTCATGATGATAAAAGATTTGTATTAAATGATAATATCCATACCATGGCATATGGCCATTACAAACTAATTGAGAATAAAAAAAGGAAAATTGATTTACACAAAGAACTGATTGCAAAAAAAGCTAAAATGTCCAATGATTCTTGTTAAGCTCAAATTATTTGTTAGATTTGTATGTAAGTTAATTTAGTTTTTTACTTTTCAGATAATGTTTTTTTGGAAACTGTACCGGTCAGGTACGAACAACTTTCTGTTGACGAGGGCTTCCTTAATATGCCTGAATACGAGAACATGGGTCGGGTTGCTATACCTCTGCACGCATTTTTCCCTTCCTGTATTTACACTATAACCTTAAATCCTGGAGAAAGAAAAACCATATCTGCGGGTATAAAAATTAGAATACCTGAAGGTTATGAAGGACAAATTCGACCGGTAGCATGGCAAGCGGAAACTTTCGGGGTGACAGTTTTAGACTCTCCAGCGTCTATTGACTCCAACCATACAGACGTAGTCAGGGTTAACCTAATAAATCATGGAAACGAGCCGTTCAGCATTAATTACTGTAGTCACATCGCAGATCTTGTCCTAATAAAGGTTGCTAGGGTGTGTTGGGTCTTAAACGGTGGTTCCGAAGATCACGATGATCCGGACTGTAAATTAGAGGAAATAATTGTTGACAATCATGTGTCTGTCATTGTAAGAAGGGACATTATCTAGTTACAAATAAATCAAGTAATTTGAGCTTTACAGTAAATTTATGTAAATAGTGGAATAATAGAAAGTATTATGACTGTAATGAAAAAAACTGTAAACTTAACTTATCTATTTAGTTTGATTGTTTATGTTTTTAATTACTGTAACCATTGAATCTTCAAATTAATACATAGATTTTTTTTCATAATTTTGTAAGTGTAACAATTATATTTGACATTTGTTATTTATATTTGTAATTTTGATATGTTTGTAAATAAATATAAATTATTTTGACATACAATCTGTGTTCAGTGTTATTTATTACCTACCTTGTTTCAGATTAATTTATCTCCCTTTCATTTATCTGATATAAATATATATTTATACACAATTAAATATTACGTCATGAATAAAAACATAGTTATATCAATCAAAATAAGAGAATAGCATCATTTGATGTTTGACTTTCAAGACGATGAAACCAAGTATCGACAAGTTTGGAGGTTATATAGGTTTTACTTCCAAAGAAAACGTTGTAGTAGGACCTTCAG